TGTTGAAAGTGTCTGCTGACCTGGGCTTCGTTTCAGACGCCGAGGAGGGAAGCGGCTCCGGGTTTTTAAAGCTTCTGACAACAAGTGTGTTGGGACGCGTCAGGCCTGCGTCATTCACAGAGCGATGGCTGGAATAAGTACAAGCTACATCGCTCTCTCTGGCACCACCGGTGACCAGGACGGCATCAGAACGCAATCTGAGGCAACTCCCTGAATGCAATCGCTGCAGTCGACTGCCCACAGCCCCTGGAGGTTAAATTTGTTTGCATTAAGCGTGAAAGCTTTATGTCTGTTTGGAGTAAGCTGTGAATGCAAATAGGTCTGACTAATGAGGCTGAGGGGTCGAGTCATGATTCACTTCCACCATCTCAACCGGAGGGCGGAGGAGACTCTACAGGGTTGGGTCATGCAGATTTTTCACCACTCATGACAAGCTTGCATTAATCTTGGTTAAACTGGAAGGAAATTGCACATAAAACGCGCCGGTGATAACAAAGGGGGCGTTTCTCCTGACGCCAATGTGTTTTTTCAGCTGTTTGCAACGGTAGTGATGCATGTTTATGCTAAGCTAACACTGCCAGCAGCATGTCAAGGTGCAGAGCGTCTACTCCATTCATTATTTTCTGGTTGACAAATGTTCGGTCCTGGTTAAAAAGCGGTACTCATCTCTCACACTGACCAACCGTCACATCCTACCAAATGCTGAACAACGACTAAACACTTGTTTCTAGCCTCCCAACGCTAGATAGCCCCTCAGATTTACAGGCCAGTAATGATTTACCTGGTTTCAACTTAGAAACAACTATTTGTTAACCTCACTGCCTCCAGCTGAGTCATTCAGTATGAACAGCTGCCTGCGTTCATTTAGTTTCTACAACTGCTGACTTTACGATGTCTCAGCCACAAGAAAAGCCCAAATGTTCTGCTGTTGTTGGCTGCAAGAGTGAACACAAGAGCCTTCATGCACTCGCAGCATTGCAGCAACTGCTTCAGTGCATCTGTTGACTTCTCTCCTGCTCTCTGGGCTCAAATAAACTGCATTTTAATACGAGAAAACTGTTTTCATTTATGTTTTTCTGTTGTGAGACAATGAAACAACGATGAAAAATGGACTGAAATGCAGCCCATTAAGACTACAGGTTAACCAGAAACTACTTGAGAACAATTTCTAAGTCGCTCTGCACCGCTAAGCTTCTGATTTTATAACCACAACGTTGCCTGACAAACTCACTGCACACTTGAGCTACAAACAGCAACTGTGCTTCAGTGGTATTTCCATATTAACATATCAACAACATACAAGTTTAGCACATATTCCATCTGAGAGAGTGTTCTTCCTGAACAAACAGCTGCTTTAAAGCTACAGACACTGAGCCAGCCTGTTTAGAACTAAAGCCAGGAGCTGTACAGTCACAGAAAGCTGAATGGTTTTTGCTCTATTTTGAGTTGAAATTTGACGAACACATTCAGTTCACATGGAAGACCGTCACTACTCATCTGTAACATCTGGCTACTTTGTGAAGCAGTTCATGAAGTGACTTTTGACAGTCGCACGTTAAACTTTATGCCGAGCTGTTCTAAAATTGCATCAGTCCATCAGGTGATAACAGTTATCTTCTCTGGCTCTGTAAAGCCACCGAGCGCCCAGCAGACACGGTAATGTGGTGAGCAGACGCACTGTGGCTCAGTTAGAGGGCTGCAGGAAGATTACTGCAGCAACAGATGGAGATCTGCTCTAAAAATGTTTCCCCCCCCGAGTGCCACAAACCTCTGCGAACCGAAGAGCCGACAGCAGCGAGCAGCACTGGGAGGCCTGAACTGTGCGCTTGGGGGATTACAGAGAATAGCATTGCATTGTTATGCCTCATAACTCACACAGAAGCAATGGAGGGGATATAGGAAATAGAAAACAAATAAGATGAGAAAAACAGAAAGCAGAGGGAGAACTTATATCAAGACCAAACAAACAGATATCAAAGCAGACAGCTGCTCACTCTGGTTCTGGTTCAGAGGGGAGTTGTTGAGCTTCTTTCATTTCAGTGGCTGAGCCAAACTCAGCACTTGAACTGGCCTCTCCTGCAGAACCAGAACCTGAGAGGACCGAGAGCAGGATTGTGAGCAAGAGTGGAGACAGCAGGTTTAAGAGAGGCAGCGATGAGCATCGTCCAACCACATGAGGCCAAACAGTGTGAACAGAACCTCTCCTGTGGGAAACCTGCAGCCTTGGGTCACCTGCTCGCTCAAAGTTGAAGACCTGTATCTTGGATTTATCAAAGAGGACTCAAAACTGGACTCAAACATGGTGCCTGCAAACCTGATGCATGAGCCAAAGAACTTCCAGCTTTGTTGTTGTGTGAGCTTCTGCACATGAGCGTTTCCTCTGCAGGCTCCTGCTTGGCCCTCGTGCTGGGCTCAGACTTTTAGAGTTTTGGGCTGATTTACATCCATTTCACCTCCACTCACAGTCTGTTCTGGGATCTTATCTGGACCGGTGCTGTGCCCAGACCATGTACTGATGTTCAAACTCCAGAAGTGCTCACAGACTCATTGGATTACGATCCCACATGGTTGATATTTATGAGTTAAAACCTGGACGGTTATCAAGCAGAGCAACAGATGCTGCTGCCAAGCAACACCAAACAATCCGACCCTCGAGGCCGACGCTAGCAACAAACAAACTGGTGGTGAAATCTAACCTCCAGGTGTTGTTGAAGAACAGACAAACCACGCTGACCACATATCCCCAACTCATCCAGACTAGTTTTCCTTCACTGTAAAGTATTGTTAGCATATTGCTGCACCACAGTGTCCGTTCTGTTTGCATCTGTTTCCCCATGAGATCAGTGAAGTGGTGCTCTGCTCCGAAAATCCTGTAATGTGTGATTATTTCTACATACGTGTGATTCACAAGAAGAATATCTGTGAAGTTTCTCCTCGTGCAGGACTTTAAATCAGCTGCAGTGTGAGCGCAGCATTAACCTTTACGGTGGGATCATGCACATATCACACCTCCACGGATGAAGGATTCCAAATAGAAAGAGCAAAACCTGACCTTGTTGGAGTTTTCCTGTCAGCTAGTTGTGCAGGTGCTGCTTTTAATAATTTCATTTCATGTGGATAAAGTGTTTTGGGCTGCAGGTGGTTCATTGCAGTGTCACAAGGGATCACTGTGAAAAAACATCCGTCTCTCCTCATACATCCATGACCTTCGTCCGGTCAGCGGCCCTCACACAGAAAGTAGACGCACAGAAACTTACCAAATACACCTCTGAAGCGATGCTTAACAAGTGTCTGCAGATGCACAGTGCAAGAAAAACAGTTTTAACTTTATAATTAATAATCACATCTGGATTATTGAGAGAGGACGCTGCCCCAGAATGAATTTTAGAAAATGTTATTCCGTAATGAGACACCGGATTAATTTTTAAATACACACACCTGAATAAAATTGTAAAGTTAAAACATTTCTAAAACCGCTTCAGAAAATAAAATCAGACACATTTAACATTTTGCTTACATAATGTTCTATGGAGTACGATGCACCTACAAATCTGGACGGATCGAAGCAACCTCCAAGTCAAACCGTGTGTGTTATTATGCCAGAGAGGAGGCTGCAGGGATCTTCTGTTGGGCGTTTCACTGCTAATCCTGCAGCATTGATCGCAGTAAGCCCTCTCAGACCTCAATCACAGCAGCATGTAGCGCTGAAGAACCTTTGGTGGGTTCAAGGAAATGTCAACAGGAAAACAGGGCATTTCTTATGATTCAGAAGCAGCAGGTTGTGAAGGACTTCAGAGGAAGAGGGAAGGACGCGAAAGTCTACCTGGTATCCGGAGCCGTCAATCACCTGGAACCGTCAGCGCTGCTTGTAAGAAATAATCTTTCACAGCAAAAACAATTTTGGAGGAAAAGGCGCTTGGCTTTGTTGTTGTGCTTTAATCTGTTTTTATTTCAGCTGCAACACCCTGCTGCTGCTGCTGTGGTTTGTTTTTCCACTGATAACTCTAAGATCCATGTTTTAAACACAGGCAGCAGAGGAAATGTCATTTTCAGGAGCGATTACTGTTTTTTGTTTAAAGTTGGAACAAAATTTGAACTTAGAGACTCAGACTAGAGGTCATAGTTTGGTTTTTATCCCAGAGTTGGAGGCTGCTGGGCAGTCGG